ACTCCATCAAGAAACAATATTGGAGATATCAGAAACCCATGATGGACAGACACCCTAGAAGGATACCATGTTCAGTGATATTGAAGGCCACTAAGAAGTCAAGGACAGATATATTATGCCCATGCTGCTCTTACCAGAGAGATTCAAGAACGTAGTCAATACCATCTGAGTTCCATCCCAGAGAGAGCCCGAATCTGACTAAAAGAAGTTCAGACAATCAACTTCTTTCAGAATTCTTTGAAGCTTCTGCACAGCAACATTGTCCACAGCGTTCCCCCAAAGGGGAAGCTTGAACACTGGACAAAATAATGGTCTCTTGAAGAGGGATGGACCATCACTGGCTTAAGAGATGGTGGAACCAACCCCTGTCTTAAAAATAAATTAACTTCCATCAAGACACAATCATAAGTCACTTCTTGGGAGGCCTTAGCCAATCAGGTGGCTGACCCAACAGCCTTCAGAGTCCTGCCCACTTCATCAGGTCCGACAGGATCAATTTTTTTCCAGATAACTGAACCAGGCCTTACCTCAGTCATATCTGCAAGACCTAATACAGAGAAAATTCAACATAGCACCAGATCAAATTTATCTGTCAGATGCCTTGTGAATTCTTCAATGTGATCTTATAGGTGAACCTCAAGCCACCCCATCCATGAAGATTCAGAACCCCACAAATAAGGCATCAATGGATGCAATAATGGCAGGGAAAAATTGCTATCCTTCCCACCATAAGGTAGGCTGTAATAGCTCTAGCTTGTGTTTGGTTAGATTAGTGTCACATTTCTCCACCTGATTTATTTCTTTCAACTATTTTGTAAACCAAAGAGGGTTCCAGATCTTGGGGTGGGGAAAGGTTTCTTGGGCACAATCTGATAAGATAATAAGATAACCTTTATTGTCATTTTTTTTACTGTGGACACACTGGCACACATTAAAAATGAAATTCTGTTGCCTGCTCTCCAATGTGTACATATATATAACACACGTATATAAACATGCTATATACCTGTACAACCTACACCCTTACATATAAATATTAATCACTGTCCATCTTGAATACATAGTGGAAAGAGGAAGCTTGAGAGTTCACAAGGTTAATATTGTATGGAACAAAACTGTGACTGAATCTGGATGTTCTGCTTCGGATACCAAGAAGCCTCCTCCCAGAAGGTAATAAGGAAAACAGGTTGTGAAGAGGATGTGTAGTGTCCCAGACAATCCTGCAGATCAAGAAGTCTTACCATCCTTTCATTGATCAGATTGTGTAGCAGCCTCTCAGGAACAACCCTAAAGTTTCCTTTAAGACAAACTGTGTCTGTCAGTTGCCTGAAGTTGACCAATTTAATAGGACAAGTTTCCCTGTGGTGGAGGGCAATGGAGCAGTGCCAGAGAACTGCAGAGCTGTTAGAATGATCTAACCATGATGGGTGAAACAGAAACCTTCCCTAATTCCACATCATGCTGCCAGTTCTCCAACAGAAACAACAGAACATGTGAATGACTCCTATTATGCTAAAACGGTTGAAAGTCCAACGAATTTGGAGGCTGAACATTTTCTAAACACAGCATAATAGCATCGATATTGCACACCATAATTTCTTGTTTTGAAAATATTTTGGAATCCCCATTGACCCTTCCAGGTTTGCTAAGGCTTCAATTACCAGAATTCTTGATTGTGTTTGAATTTCTGAAAATTGTAATGCCAACAGATGGGAAGTGTCATAAGATTGAAGATTGTTTAGAGATTAGCTTTAGCTTTCTATCTGCCACCCTTATAAAATTTGAGCCACAATGAGATTGTTTTTGTTCATGCAAAATAGTTTTTCATTATGTTTACAAAGTGCAAAATATAATACATGCTTTATTTCAGATGTCTACATGTCTATGTTGTTTTTTTGCAATGATACAGAAATGGTTTGCCATTCTGTTTTTTCACAATATTTTTATTAATGGGGGAAGCCATAGTTCAGCCCTCTCTCCTGAGATTTTTCTGGTAGTCTTCTACACAAATATTAATGAGGTCTGATATCTGCTTAGCAAAGTCATCTGTATGCCCTTCTATAAGGCTTTGCTTTCTTAAATTAATCCAATCTTAGGGCGTCTCATGAACCATAAATTGATCACATGAATTGGGTTCATAAAATCTGGTTAGCTAGTCTGAAATTCAATGCATTTTATAGATGCAGGCTTAATTTCAAACAAGAATTTTCATTTTTTTTAAAAAAAATGTAGAATTCCTATGTTTCCAATCAATCCTCTTTATCCAAAGTATTTGACTTTGCCTTTTTGCAAGTCAATGTTTCTATTAAATGAAATTAACCTGTGATCCTATTTTCGAAGTATACATTTAATTATTATTTCTATATGTGTTTATCTCAGGTTGGTAACCAGCAACTATTCATGCTTATTAATATGAAAAGAAATCCAGACAATAGTAATGTAATATTTGGAAAGAATGGTAAGGCAAAATTCTCCAAAGTTACCACCTAAGGAGCTGCTCAAATAAGGCTGACAGAGTAAGTATCAAAATGGCAGGAATTAACTTTCTGTCTCTAGGCTGCCTTCTAGCAATTGTCTGGAGGTTTGCAACCCAAAAATGCAATGCATCCCAAGTTATGGACCTTGAATTGCAAAGATGTACAACAAAGACTTTGTATGGGACCTTATGGAGGGCCATCAAGATATTTCCTGCTTATCTCACTACAGTGTTAACTTTTACATTTTGACTCTACTTGTTATGTTATCCTCTTTTATTTCACTCTGAACCAAGAGTTGCTGTTTCCATTTTCCATCTGCAAAAATGGTGATATTCACAACTGACTCACTCCACAAAAGGGATACATCAAGAGGGTTTTTTTTGAGAATGCTATATAATTCTTATAGTATAACTATATACCATAAAGACCAAAAGAACAATGCAAAAAACTTTTCCCTCCCATTAAAAAGTTAGGAATAAATAAAACTTACTCTGTCAAGCATTCATTAAGCTTGAAATGAACAAATGGTGCTGAGATCCAACTTCCATCAATTTATGGCCAATGATAAGGAATGACAGCAATTATGGCTTAACAGTATCTAGAAGGCCACATGCTTGCCATTTTTGCTTTAGGTGGATTTAGTTGGCATCTAGAAAGCTTCCGTGTTCTGTCAGTTTAATTCTGTTTACTTTGATTGGCAATGGTTATCCACAGATTCAGACAGGACTGTTCAAGCCAGATTTCTAAATCCCAGGGATTGTGTACATAATGCATCTGCTATAGCACTGAACACTGACCTTGTTTTAATGTTTTACCCTCTATTGGTTATATTGAAGGTCACATCATGGTAAACAAAGAAGTGGCTCTTGAAATCACTTTTAGCACACATACACTAGCGCTCCTTCTGATCATGGTGCTGAATTTTGATTAAACAATTCCCATGACTTGATAAAGTGGGTTCCAGACCAGCTCATTATTAATGAGCCTCACTTATCTCCCATAACTCTCCCTTTGATGGCCCTTAATTCTTCCAAAGCATCAGTCACCCCCCCATCAACCAAAATAATCTCCATTTTTGCATAAAGTTTGGCTTTGGTCAAGCATTGGGTCAAGTTATCTAAAGGATCATCTATCTTCTGCAATTTCTACCCATCCCATTTGATGCAATGAAGTTGGAATGCTCTAGGTCCCTTAATTAAACAGTGACATCTGTTGTGAGTCATGAATCAAAACCTTGGTCTTCCCCCAGGTCTTGGGTGAAGTGAATGGTGGCCCCCTTACAGAAGATGGGTTTATTAGTCTTGTGCTATTTTTACTGGATATTTATTTTCTGTATTGTTTTATACTTCATTGTTTTAAATTGTATTATAATATACCTGCCTAGAGTCATAATGGAGTTAGATGGCCTATAAGTACAGTGAAGATAGTTAAAAATGTGATTAAACATATAAAGATATTGATTTGAGCAACTGGTAAAATTCCTTCCATTTTTTGTTGGAGAATATATTGGAAAGTAATGTTGTGTATCCTTTCTATGCATATTTGGATTAACATGCCATGTAACCTACCCGTTTGCTATCATCCCACTCCAGGTTAAAGAACTTGTGTATGTGAATGTTGTATCTGTTCAAAGATTACAGGCATGCATGTGATTCCAATAATTCAAATTGTGGACCCAAAAAGTAGAAAAAAGTAGCATTTAATGTTATAGAAGAGAAAAATGATAAATATTTTTTTCTTCCAATTTGTCATGTCCGATCCAGGGACTTGACCAGGCACTTTCCGGGAATAAAAAGCATAGGTGGAAAATTATATTAATTGTATTTAATATTGATTAAAGCTTGATGAAAATAAAATCACACCACGTTTGTCCTATTTTTAACGAATATTTTTGGGGATAGGAGCTCCTGGTAAATCCATCGAGAGCCAAGAATAATCTTTGCAGTGGGAAAAGCCCAATCTGAGCCCAACTCACCCCTCATCAAACAGCCTGTGCAGGTTTATGACTTTTAAAAGACTGTGGCCATACTTGTCACCATAGGAGGGCACACTGTGATAAACATTGCCCAACTTATTTAAATACGGTAACTGACTTTTAGAAAGTCTTGCAATTTCAACCGGGAGCTGAAACAATTGAAATAATAATAATGCCTTGACTGACACGTGCAACTTGCTTTCTTATTTGGATTATTGAGAAATGTAATTCCAAGTAGCTATGGCACAATGCAAATGAATGGTAATATTGTAGTAATGTTGAAAGACTTCAGTGGTAGCACCATGTTTTTGTCTTTAACTATAAAAGCATCTCTCTGTCTATATTAAAATATCTCATAATGAAGGGATCTTACCTCAAAATATGCTGGAATTTTAAACACTCTGATAAGTAATTATTTCCATTACTTCCAGTGTTGGAATACTTAAGGCAGTACAGTAGACATAACTGATTTTCTCTTCTTAAACACTGATGCAGTTTAGTTTCACTACAATAAAAGCAAAAACTAACATAAACAAATCACACATGAAAACACTTACACAAAGGCTTTTATTAAATGAAATAATTCAGCAAACTCCATGGTAGCAAATCAATTGTAAGTGCATTTAAATTGCATTTATGGACATCATAACAGTCTGAATAAGGTCTTCCAACTAAGTTCAAGCAAATGCAACCAAAGAAATAACCATTAACAGTAAAACAGTTTTATGACAAGTAAAGAAAAGGCATATTTCTCACAGCCAAGAATTACAAAGCACAGCTCACTTACTGAGACTATCACTACAATGGATTTTAACAGATGGACTAATCTATTCCTAATGATAGATCTTATGTCCTATTACTTCAGTAGCACATTGTTTTTCTTTCCATCCTCTCCGCCCAAAAGATTAAAGATTTCAAGTTCTGCAACTCTTGTTAGGCAGGGAAGAAAACAGGACTCACACACACACAAATGTAAACGTGTTGTGGTCTCTAGGTTGGAAAGCTCATTCAGAGAAAATAGACTGCATGCCATGAGAAAGTGCATTTTACCTGGTACTATTCAGAAGGACCAGCTTAAAACCTAAAATTCTGCTTTCAAAAACAATGGAGAGATTTACATCAGAGCAGAACTGCCCATTTCTGGGGTAAAATAACTGTAAAATATTTTAGTCGTCCCATAAAACCTTTTAAATCAGTTCATAAAGCAATACAAAACACTTTGTTTCCTTGGAGAACAGTGAAAAAACACTAAATATTTAACCATATGAATCTATTTATATTATTTATAATTTACATATATTATATACACACACAAAATGTACCATATACCAAAAGCTGGCAAAGCACTTCAAACGGTTGGTTCCCCCACCCCCAACTCAAGATTCTGAGACCTGAACTAGTTTTATTTTTGCACGTACAGCCTGATAGGAAACCAAGACGTAGTAATCAGAATATTTGTATTTGATTAAAAATTATATAAAAAAGACAGAACACTTCTTTTCAAATAACCTTCTATATATATATGAAAAGTATCCAATATTTCCATTAGTGCCAAAGTTGGAAGCTCTTTCAAATATTTATAAAGCGAATTTTTCCATATTAAACAGATAAGAAAAGAAACTCTCCTGAAAGATAACTCACTTTCCTTATATTCTTTGGATTCCAATGAAAGGGAAACCCCAGAGATATGACACAGCTTTGCAAGCTTTGAAACATACCACAATTTTGCAGCATTCATACCGAGGGTAGTTGCCATCTGTCCCCATGTCATACTGGAGGTAGGCTGCTGTTATCCCAAGATAGATTTTTACTTAACACTACTTAATCACTTCCAGTCATTGCTTCGAGGTAGGCTTGAATCTAATCCCAGGCCAACCTAGAAATCACTCCCCTGGCACAGGGGTAAAATATATTATGAAAGAGCCCTCTAGTGATGGTGATGTCTGTATGCTATCTCAACACCCAGTCCTTCAACACCATATGTGCAATGAGATTCCTCTCAATCGTCAGAAACAAATGAATTATGATGTGGAATTAGAATCATAGTAGAATGAGAGAAATGTTTCTTCCTGTGCTGGACAGTTCCTAGGTTTCTTAAAGAGTATTTCTCAAAATCAGCTAACAAAATATTGGATAATTGTATATAAAATAAAGCAGCACGGTAGGATTGTTGCTTAATCAAAATAATTACATCAGGAAAATCATTATCTCCAGGCTCCACTCTTCAAATGATTGCATTTCAACTCTCAAGCTTATCTAGATAGAAAGCATTGACTATACATAAATTGGTTTGAGGCATTTGAAAAGTTTAATTCGACTGAGTTTAAGGATAGCTCAGAGAGTTAAAGTTATGTAATCACTTTCAATTTGACAGCCATTGCAATTGGATGCACTTAAGCAGCTGACAATTCATTACAAATATTAGACAAAATCTAAACAAAATATAGAGTGCTCGGTGTTTAGAGGAATGATTTCAGCATATCTGTAAAGAAGCCAATCTATGCCTCCTGGGAGGCAGGCTAAGCAGCTTAAAGAGCACTAAATCTTTGCAAGATCTTCTCTTAGGGGGTCCTCTGGGACTAGGCTGGAACGGGCTGTCTATCAAGATTTTTTCCCGGCAGTTCTTGACTAGGAGAGTCTAGGGAATACCAGGGGTAATGCAAATGGCTGTATATTTCTCCAACCAGAGTCTCAAGTACATCCACAAAAAATAGTCCAATACTTGTCTAGGAATTTGCAAATTTAAATGAATTCTATTATAGTCGATGGGAGGAAGGAATAAAATATAGAACCACCTAATATGCTAGCTGTGGTGAAACAGCAAGGATAGATAGCGGTGGAAAAGTTTTGTCACACTCCTATCATAAACAGTGGGTCTTTTAAAGCAAACTGCACCTAGTTTGGTATGTAATTATCCTCAGTTGTATCATCTAAAAACCTATGCCATTTCTACTTTAGGTAAGTATCTCCTTAAATAGATTTTTAGAAAAATGCAGAGCTGGTACAAAACAAGTGTGTTAAAAATGAAAATATGTCATGTGCACTTGCAGATACATTCATTCACAAAATCCAGCACTTACTATGTAACATATTTGTAAAACTGCATTTTGAAACATCTGCAGAAAGAGTAACTGAATCATATTGGCTACACTTAACTTCTTAGTATAACATGTGGAAATAACCTAAATGCTTCTATTTTCAGAATGTAAAAATTAACATAAAATCCCCAAACCAATTTATATGGGATATTTGCTGAGTCTTTTAGGCATGACTCTGTGATGCTCCACCCTTTTCATGTCCGTCACATATGTACCATAAAAAGGGGCAGCATTTTGCACTGTTGCCATTTTGCCTTTTTTGACCTCTCTGTATACGTTCACTATGCCTCTGTAATATTCATTAACACTATGCCAGTTTTAAGTAAATAGCAATTTCAGTAGGAAAAGGTTTCACAATATCGGATAGATCTGATTTTGACAAAAAACTCTTCATTAGAATACACTTTTTCAACAGTAGGCCAAGAATAGGTTTTGACTTCATAAAGTTATCAAAACTTTTGCAAAACAAGCCATGCATGAAATGTAAAGAAGATACATGAATATAATTAGTCTTCCGCATATAGAATTATTTTTTCTATTCTACGTAACCCCACTATATGGTCCATTGATCTTATCAGAGGCTCAACCAGATGTGTCTGCAGAATCCAAAATTTTCAACAAATGGACAAAAGCAGCATCATACTCTTACAACGTAAGCTCCGCCTCTTTCAAATGTGCATTAAAGTCAAAATGTAAGTACAGAAGGAGCCAAGCTTAAATTTCAACAGTGCCATAAGGCTTTCACCATCTGTAAACCTTTGATCACTTTGCAGAAACCTCTGGGTTTAACTTTGGTTAAACCTTGGTGTTTATGAATCTGCCATGTCTTTCAAAAACAAAAAAAGCAACTGAACTCAGGTATTCTGGATGTGAATTATTTTTATAAATAACTCAAGGCAACAAATATACCTAATATTGCTTCCTTCTCCTATACCTTCCCTACAGCAATAACCCTATCAGGTGGGTTTTAACACTAGCAAAGAATAATCACCTAAAAAGTACTCTATTTTGTATGTAATAAGGACCATTAATTTAAAATTAATCAGGAATGAAGTAAAATGAAGCCAATAAGATCCAATAGTCCTTCCTGGCTTCAGAAACAAACATGTATGAAGTGGGATGTAGCTTAAAGAAGTCCTCCAAAAGTAGACTACATAGACAGGAGAAATTATTAACTACATAAGGAATGATCATGTGAACTTTATTTAAACTATTTAATAATTTGATCTACATTAAATGTAACTAAATTTCAATATAAATTAAAATCAGGGAGAATTTAATTTTTAGCTCGATCTGCTGACGTATTTGTTTTGGCTGTACCTCTTTTATTAGAATAACACCCCATCATGCCAACTGATTTTGCCTGGAAAAACACATACCCTTATTGAAACTTAATGCAAAACGTCATGATTTGTTATGTGTATGTAATAAGAACTAATAATAATTCTTATGAATGCTAGCTCCAGACATGTATTCTAAAAATAAAACATTAACAAAGATGATATATTAGTAATGGTTTTAGTAAAAAAATATTGCTGATTGGATAAAAAGATGTTCTTCCCTTTCTAAATTCCATGGAAGCTGCTAATAACATGATCATCCATGTCTAAGTTCCACAAAATTGACTGGTGCTAATATTGAAACTTGATCTGAGGAAACATTCTCTTATAAACTGATAGAAATATCTCCGAGAAACCATTTCAAGAAATAACATTTTGATATTGTCCTTCATTACAAACTACAAACCTAATTAAATCCTAGAATAATGTTTGGCTTAAAGGATAGTGAATAGAAGAAAGAAACGCGATGACTCAATACATTTTAGATTATAATAGTATACCAAATTATAGTACAGTATACCCAACTATAATATAAAATAACATAAAAATATTTTTAATAGAAGACATAGGAGAGGACAGAGGACTAGCTTGCCATTTTTTGCTATCATCTGCCAATTAACAATGTGTGCAGTTATGCTTTGCTAGTTCATAGATAGGGATTTTTGAATCTCTTGCAGAAACACTAACTTTTGTGTTTCGTCACTGCCAGACTAGTAGCCTACTTAAAGTTCTGCCATCTTCATCACACCACAGAAAATTTTAATTTCACAGCTTACTCAAAGTTTATGAATATATACACTGAAAGTGCTTAAGGGCTACAAAGAAGCAGCATAATCAAAGCTTACAAAGGGAATCCAAAATGGAAGCCGAATAACTTAAGTTATTTGATAATTTAAAGAAATATCTATCATAGGTACAAGCAATTAATTGACAAAACTGGTTGGAGATGATGGAAGTTGTTCCAAAACATTTGAAGGGTATTTATTAGCTCCACTCTAGTAAATCTTGCTGCACCTAAACCAGCCCCAAGTTTATTCCTTTTTTTATTCTTCTACACTTATCTTCCTCCAGATTAACTCTAACAGGTTAATCATGGTTAAAAAAAATTAAAAATCATAAAATCCTATAATCTTTAGTTAATTTATGGGTTTTGTAGACAAAGACTTTTTCGTTACTTCTTTCTTCAGAAAAATCCAGATGTAAATTCACAAATTCAGATTAATTCACTGTGCGGATTAAACTCTAACAATGATTTCTAGGTATAAGATTCATTTTCTGATGTACATTTAGAAAAAAAATAAAGGAAAGTTTAAATTTAATTTCACATTGCCTATACAGCAGAATTGAACTAAAGCAGTTTCTAAAAAATAGTATAAGAATATCTGCCTATTTTAAGAATAATAGAGTTTCTAGCTAACCTCCCTTTGTGCCATATGCACATTTAAGAAAAATTTGCTGGGAATTAAAATTTGAAAGTGAAGCTCTGTCTTGAAAAAAGATTTGCAAATTGCATTTATATTCAAAAGTTAGTCACGTGTTTTAAGGAAACGCTATATTTTGGAAAGCTTATTACACTGATTTAAAATCATTTGTTAAAATATTCTTGTCTATACAGACTTTCTAATATACACTGAATTAATATTCTTCACAGTAGCTTAAATTCTATTTCAAAAAGTTAGCCCTTTTTTTGAGTAAAAAGCAATATTGCACCATTCAATAAGGCGGTTGTCTCTTTTTCCTTTTGACTAAACTACTGCATATTAAAATCTTCAACAGTCACAAATTAAAGCAATTAAAATATCTAATCAATTAGACCTAAGTTTAAATATTTTATTTAAAAAGTCAACTCCAAGTACTATTCTTGATTTGTCTAAATTACTTTTTTAATATTTTAACTGAGGGAGAAAAATAGTATTCTGTGTCCAGAGGGCATGGTGTGACATCTAAAACAACCCAGATTGTCATGCAATATAAATCCAGAAAGATTAGAAGTGCAACTTGCGCATTCTAATACTCTTATAGTGGAGTTGGTTGAACTCATTGTTAAGAAAGAAGACCCAATTAAAGATAAACACAAGGAAGTGTTTGGTTGAATCAGAACCTAGTAGATAAGAAGTTATTTCTTCCCTCATAAATGCATAATCCCTTAATTTGTCTGCCAATAAAATTTGGTTTTTGGAAGACATGTCTGCAATTTAATAGTGCTGAAGCACTAGGTAAATGTAAGTGGCAGGTTGCAGACTGCGCACAGAATGGAAAGACGAACAAAAGTAAAAACTAACTCTGCCATTTCATCAGCTTGATGGTTATTATTGTTATGCACACCAGGGTACTCCAGGATCTTCAAAACACACTTTTGGAATACAGGGAATCCTTGACTTATAACCATTTGTTTAGTGACTGTTCGAAGTTACCACAGCACTGAATAAAGTGAATTACAACTGATCCTCACACTTACAATTGTTGTAGCATCTCCATGGTCAGGTGATGAAAGTACAGGTGCTTGGCAATCAGTATGTATTTACTATAGTTGCAGCATCCTGGGATAAGATGACGGCTGCTTGCCACCTTCCTAGCCAGCTTTCAAGAAACAAAATCACCGGGGAAAGTTGGATTCACTTAATAACCACATGATTCACTTAACAACTGCAGTGATTTGATAACGATGGCAAAAAAGTCATAAAATCAGGCACAACTCACATAAATCCGCCTTGCTTAACAATGGAATTCTGGTGGTCATAAGTTGAGGACTACATGACTGAGATTTATTTTAGCTAAATCTTATTAGTGGAAAGAAATTTTGAAATTCAGAAAAATAAATAATCAAAAGCTAACTGCACAAGTATGTTGTATATTGTATATTCCAGGGGTGTCAACTACCAGCCTGTGGGCTGGATGCATCATGGCAAAACCGCGCCCACCCATTGCCGGCAATGGAAAAAAAGTTGCGATACGTCACGACATGTCCGTGATGTTGCGAGTTTGACAACCCTGGTATATTCCTTTGATTGGGAGGTTAATTAAAATAATGATGCAAACAGGTGATAATCTGACGACACTGAACATAATCTAAACAGGTTTATAAGAACATACAAACCTGAATAAAAGAAAAAAAAATGGCAGCTTTTCATGTTTGATTTTAACATGATAATTATTTATACATAAAGCTCATGTAATAACAGCTGTTCAAAATTATTTTGACTCACCAGAAAGTAGTCTTGGACTGGGCATGGAAGAAGTTTGACAACAGTATTCATGCAAGATGTTGGAAATGCCCAAATAGGCACAGCAAGAGCTTTTCAAAGTAACCCTGAGTTAAAGTTATTAACTCTTTTCTAACAAACAGTCAGAGACAATATTTTCTGCCCTCACTCTGAAGCTACTATGCAACATCATTGTTTAGTCAAATCAGGCTAATAATGATCTCAGAATATCACCTCTGATAGAGCTTTAAAATATTTATGAATACATGTTAAGAAAAATATCAGGGAGATATTTGGGGAAACATTTTGGACTCCTCAACCCTCAGTGGTATCCTATAAATCATTATAAAAGAATATTTAAGTAAGCAGTAAAATATTTTTTTAAAAAGTCCTATGAAATGCTAACTGCAACCCCCTTGCTTACCATGTCTCTAATTCTAAGCACAGTTCTGATTAGCACCTATTTCCTGTGTCTTTTGGTGTGTTTAAAGCCCTATTGAAATTCTCCAGCAATAAAAAGGATTTATTATGTTGCAATCAATGTTATGAGGAACACTTACTAAGAAGAACAAGGCAAATTCCAGCAGTTCCATTATGTTTATCTCTTTATACAGCAGATCCAACAGAATTATCTGGCAGTAATTTCAATTAAAGTATAAGCAAGCAAATATTACCTTAGGTCTGTTGCCTTTAATCTACCTATGGAAAAAAGTTTTTCAAATATCGCTATAAAGATAAAAATATTTTCTCTGTCAAAGTTGAACATGCTCAGTGAAAATCTGCAGAACCAAAAACTGAGGATAGGTATAAACAATAGATGAACTTACAAAAGCTATATTGCACAGAGATTGGCAAATAGTTATTATCCTATGATTATTTTTCAATCTTTAAAAATTTCTAGCCCTCAAGAGTGCAGTTAATTAGAAAAATGTGCAATAAAAATACTGAACGACCAAGTTTAAAATTCCTGTGAATGCGGAGTCTGATTATAATATCATGTAGTCTGATTATAATATCATGTATTTACTTCTGCTTTGAACATTTGAGAACATAACATAAAGTAAGAATAATAAATTTATCAATATTATTTGGCATATATTATAATCTCTATCTCAATTTGAAAAATATGCAATAAATCACTTATTTCCAACAATGACCAACCCATACATCTTAGAATATTTTTTTCCACTTTTGTCTTGGTATTTCCAGGGCATGCGATCACAATTTACACCAACAGCTGATTCAACTAAGTTATAATTTTTTAAAAATTGTATGGCATATCATCCTTTGAAAAGAAATACCTAACAGAATAAAATAGGATGATGCACATAAAGTCCAATGTAAAGAAAATCAATACACTGCAGCCTGAACTTTTATTAAGATCAATGCATAAATACTTTCAATGTATGTAAAATTTAGTAATTCATTATAGCACTCTTAGCTTTCCAGGTGATTTTGAGTTTGTTTTTTCTATATCAAGAATGTTAACTTAATTTTTATTAAGCTGTCTGGTTAGCTCAAACCATTAGTCAGCCTAATTTTGACTACAATGGAAGTTTTTATGCTTTCAAGCAGATCCCTGCCTATAGTCCTACCATTTAGAAACTTTTAAATGAGAATGCCAGAAAGTGAACCTGAAAATATAAACTCTATTACTTTTTTGTATGTGAAATTAGGAAAAAATACATAAAGCCATACTTGGTATTTCCTCCAGGACGTATGCTGGCCATGAAACACCCAGTCAGAACAATTTATTAGTGAATTTTGGACAGACCGCACATGCAGCCAGAGATATATTTCAACACAAATATAGGACTGCAATATAACACATTCAAGTTAGAATGCGGATGTGATTATTACATCATGTACTCTTTCAAATTTAATTGTCAGCTGCCTGGTTGGGTAAATATATGATCTGAAGAAATCCCTGACAAATACAATTTGCTGTTAAATAAATAGATAAGAACATAAAACCTCAGATTTTCCTAAATCTTACTTTTGCTAGACACAGGTAGTTAAAAGGGCTGAAGTTGAAGACCAAACCATAAAGGAATAAATAATTAAAAGGGCTGAAGTTGAAGACCAAACCATAAAGGAATAAATAATTTGTGTTGATTTCATCCCTTTTTCTTACTTTCCTACAAAATCTCATGAAAGAAATTTTTTATTCTCTAGTTATGAGTGGAATAACATGCTAGAAAATTGCGCTTTTTGAAAACAAGGAGAAAACTGGATGAATATCTGATGAAAATACTTATTTGAAAAAGACTCTTATCAGTACAATAAAAGTGTTTTCAGCCAGATAGCCTTATTTTGGAAGACAGTTCCAGGCCTACCTGAATTGTTTTAATATTATCATAGCGTTAAAGCTAACTTAATCGTTCTGAAATTTACATGAGAGTCATCCCTAGCTTAATATTCTGTGTTTTAATTAAAATTTGTGCTTCTTTATATTTATTATAGGCAGCTACTCTAGATAATAGTGATTTATAATATATTCCATCAGCGATTCCTCTACCCCCCTTCCCCAATAAAATTTATTTCTGACTTGTCATCATACAACAGCATCAAGGGCTCCCATTCTTGCTCTTGTTTTCCCAACTTGGGATACCTATCTCATCCCACTGGAGTTAATATCAAAGGACAAAATCCACCAGGAAGGTCTTGAGCACAAGCCGTATTTATATTAATATGCAATAGTGCTCTTATAGGAATTCCTTTATTTCAATAGGCAATCCAGAGACGTTATTTCAGTAACCGATGTCCAAACTTTCTACTGATTCTCAAGCATCAGTTCAATTTACACCACAGCTACAACAGTCTATCTCATGGGCCAAATGAAGATTAAATTACACTAAAGCACAAAACCTATGAAAGTGCAAGCCAGCGTGAACGCTTTTATTTCTGATATTGAAAGAACTTTATAATCAATGGAATTTTTTACATACAGACATCTGCTTTGCTGCACTCGTATTTTACATGTTGGGAAGTGGAAAACCAGTTTGTCCTTCTAGTTTCTATCCCCTGAAGTGAAAATTTGCTGTTTGAACTAAAATGTTAACCTAATATTGGCATAAAAAGCAGGGAAAAGCTGATGGGTTGATCACATCCCTGATTAATGTTGATGAAGTCCTCTGGGCTGCCCATTAGTCTGAGCAGAGCCTTTAGCACTGTGAGATGTACATTTTCCAGTACTTGCTTCTAAGAAAATATCCTGGAACCCAAATATTGATGGTAAGTATGCTGATTTCAATCCAAGTTCATTTAAAATCAGACTCCTTTCCCATGTGTGGGTTTTTGTTTTTTGCTTAGGACTGCTGGTGATTGTACCCCAACTAGCCTTCTTTGGGACAGATACAAGAGGTGCTCAACCTTCACGTCTGAGTTTGAGATTACTCTTAAATTTCTTGCCCCTTTAGCAAAGCATCTTTCCATTATCCTTGAAGGACAAGCACCAGACGCTGAATCAAGTCTGTTCACAATAGAATTATTTACCACTTCTGGGAGAGCTGCTCTTGAGAAAAACGTAGCTTATTTCTAAAGTTTAGTGTGTCTGTGTATGCACGTGTGTATTTGTGTTTTATTTACTTCATTCTAAGAAAAGTAGCATCACTCAATCTTGGCTTTAAGTGATTCCAAAGGTGAAATACTGATCATGATGTAGTATTAAAGACAAATGTCCTGACAGGCGAGTTGTTCAAGGTATTAAAAACAGATTTTGTTCCTGTTCTTTTAAAGAAAGATGCATATAGCTGCTCCTGATTCAAAACTTGGTAAAGATTTTGTTAGTTTTTCCTATATAGGTTTTTGAGAAGTTCTTCCCTTTGAAATAAATGTATTTGCTTTAGAGTGCCAGTCTTCTATAGACATTAGCGCTCAGTGAGGTGGGAAGAGTCACACTGCACACTTGCAGCAAGGGAACCCTATTATACACAACTCCATATTGTTTGTGGGCTTCAATCAATAAACCTTTGGCAGGCCTTCTTCCAACGACAAGCTGTACACCACATATCTCTATTCTCCATCCCGTACACTTTGCGACATTTCTTGCCCTCTCCTCTAGGTTTTCTGCCAGAAAGTTGAAAGAAAAACTTATTAAGGTAAGATGATGAGGTTGAAGATTGTACACATATATACACACACATATATAAAAAGAGGTAAAATAGCAACTCAAGCAATATTTAATTTTAATAAAAATATCCATAACTAGAAAGGGCAAGCAGAAAAATAAGCTCTTTACTCCGGTTGTAAATGTGAACAGTGAAAGCAGATGATGAATGGTGTTTTGCAGGACTTCATACATGAAGATCAATGTGACTTTCTGCTTTAAAAAGTTGAGAGAAAATATAAGAAATATTTTGAATGCACTGTACTAGAATATTTGAAACAACATAATGAAAAATCAGCTACATTGACATTTCTTGTTGCAGAGAAAGCAATTAACAATTTGAATCTTTTTTATTTAAAATGTTGGAAAAAAGGATTTTGAAGGTTAATTGTATTAAATGGATAAAACTGATATTGTATATACATTATGAACAGCACAAATTGAGGTTAATGATGATTTCATTATGAGATTCAAAAAGGGACAAGAGAAGACTGATGGTACCACTGCTGCTTACTTTGGCTTTGGAAGTTCTTAATAGAGACAGAAAACAAGATGAGAGAATAACTGGTATGAAGATGAAAGAAGTATATAAAATAAGGCCATCTGCAGATTATTTGGTTTTAATAGTTGAAAATACCTTGGAAGGAATACAATATTAATGGAAAAGCTGAAGGAATTTGGCACAGTAGCTGAATTTAAAATGAATAAAGACTAACATTTTAACAAAAAATATGAGGAAGATAAAAAAGAACTGTTTGGAAAACCTAGTTTTCAGATTTGAGAAAAGGGTAAACATTCAGATATTATTGCAACTAATAAAATTCTACTATATGTTATTTCAGAATAATTATGTTAAGATATGGAATGAAATTAAGAAAAATCTAACAAATGGGAAAAGTTGCAACTTCCACTGTTTGGAAGATTTTCTGTGATAAAAATGACTATAGCTACAATGATGATTTATTTCAAACAATATCAGTTTTGAAAAATGATGAATCTTTTAAACAAAGGCAAAAATATATAATAGACATTTATATGGCAGGGTAAGAAACCAATGGTTAAATATAAAATTCTGCAGGATACAAAGACAGAGGAGGGCTGGGATCATCTGGTTTTAAACTATAATTTTCAGGCTGTTATTTGGTTTTTTGTAAAATAATAAATCTTGTTAAGAAATAAAAGAATGTTAGAAGATCATAACCTGAGATTTGATTGGCATAGGTTTTTATGTATAATAAAATTAAAATTCCAACTAGGTCGCATATCAATATGACTGAGTGTAGAGATTGCTTCCTGTTTATATACAGTAGCAAGCACTTCCAGTACTGGTGGGGATGTGTTTTTTAGCTTTTTATTGTCTCTTCTGAATGATATGTATATATGTATAATGGCCAATTTATAGGAATTCCATAGTGTCCCAAAGGTACTTTTTCAAAAGGCAACCGGACTTTCATTTTTTCCTTGAAGACATTTCACTTCTCACTCAAGAAGCTTGGAAAAAGTATCTTTGGGACAACCATGTCCTGGATGACTGAGGATCTCTATAGAATTCCCTAGTGGTTTTGGATTTAGCTTGGTTTAAGGATACTCACAGTTTCCCAGTTGTAACTATGGTTAAGTATGTGTTGTTAGATTAAGGAGTTTTCATCATGTTTTCTGACTGATGAGCTCTGCAAATTGTCTGCCTGTCTGTCTTACATAATTACAGCTTTTGCACTGTTTTTTTCTTCTTGGGCTCTTTTGCTTGTTTTACGGTACATAAAATTTTTGGAGAGTTCTATTTGGTTTGAATGCTACAGTGATGTTATGTGGTTGTAATAATCTGTGGATAGTTTATAAGATGTTTTTGATGCATGGCAGTGTTGTCCTGTTCATAACTTATTTTGACTGTGCTACAGTGGGTTGAATGATCAGGCATATTTTGATAAAGTTGTGTGGGTACTTATTTTGTTGGAAAATGTTGTTTAGGTGGTTTGTTTTCTTTTTCTAGTGTTCTTGGTGACTGCAGTATGATTGTACTTGTCAAAATAACATTGTTACCAAACTCCTCTTGTTGAAAGTTTGGTCCTTACTCTGGTTAATGAAGTTGTTTTTTTGATAAACACTGGCATTTTGCCATTGTTTCCTGTACTGATGAGAATTTCCAGGAAAGATAGTGTGTTATTGTTTTCTTCATCCCTTGTAAATTTGATTACTTGGAAGATATTCTTGATTTGCAATAGTGGTGAATATCTGTAGCTTGGGTGTAGTATGAGAGTGAAGGTTCATTTTCTGAGCTTGTGGGTTGGTTTCCGAAAGTTTCGTTACCAGAGTAGGTAACATCTTTAGCTTTAGGGGATGTTACCTAGCTTGGTAACAAAACATTCAGAAATCAACCCACAAACTTGGAGAATGAACCTTCACCCCAGATATTCTTGATTGTTTCATGTGATCTTTTCTAGTTGTTCCTTTTTTATTATGATGAAGCTGTTGTTCACATACTGAATCCACACTTTTCTTTTATTTGTTCATTTTCCCTTTTGATTTGTCTTTTGTTTATAAAAGATCTTAATAAATATGAGTAAATGTTAATAGTGTAAGAATTAAGCACTACACCAGAATGCATGGCTTCCATAGCTGAGGCAGCAAAGGAGAAACCTTCTTTCGAAAATGAGGCTAAGAAACTAGGTGCATCTTTAACAGGCACCAACATTCTGCAGATTTTGGTATCTGGAAAAAAAATTATACTGAAATCTCTATTCAAAACTCTGGCCAAGCAAAATCATTGTAAGTGTCACTGGAAATCTAGGGATTATTCATGAGAACAAAGATCACAAATACTGAATGAAAAATACATAGAAAGATATGCAAGAATACATAATGAAAACATGCTTCAAGGTATGAAGAATGTTGAGGGTACTGCCAAGGAAAATTCTAGTTTTCTGGTAGGTTGTAGTAAAATATGTAATAAGACGACGGAGTACTACAAACCTGTTATATCTTTAGAATAATATTTCTTCAAAATTTACTAATGTTTTTACAAATAAAACATTCTTTTCTGCAATATCTTCTGCAATATTTTGACATAAAAATGCCATATTTCAGTACAACAACATACTTTCTATTCCTGTTTTATCTAAACTTCTATAGCCTTCTCCAAATTTCACAAAATACTTATACTATATATTTGTCTGATTGTTTTTACTCTTTCTATCCGCATACTCTATTTAGTCCTTCCTTACTAATTTTTCTTCTTTAATTTTAAAAGGCTTATTTTGTGATGAACTGAAAAAAAAAGTAATTGCCACATTAGGATAAATTGCACTGTTAAAAATAATTCATCTGTATTTATGTTGAGAAGAAACTCAGATTAAAAACAGGTTGACCACAAAAATCCTCCACTCATTAATTAATTCACTTTATTCCGAAGTAAAGCACCTCCTACCTGAGGCCCACTGATGCTCTAGGTGGTGATGAAAGAACCGCGTGGACTTGGTTCTTTTGTTCTCCGATCCCCACATGCCGTGTGTGAGTTGGTGAAACCTAGCAAGAGAAACAAAGATGGAGTTCTGATTGCAGAATTAAAAAATACAACATGGATAATAAAACTAAATTACCTTGTATTGAGCTTTAATCTGTGGATTCGTCACCTTAATTTCATGGACTTTCTCACAATGAAACCGAGGACATATTACAAAACTCAATGGTTTTGGACCATTTTCAAAAGCATCCAAAAAAGAAAATGTTATATTCTGTACCAGTAAATAACTTCTTAGTACTCAAATTGGCTTCATTTTTCCTCTTAAGGATTCTACTTGGAATAGATTCCTCCCCCAATTTCGATTTAAAATTAAGGTAGGGAGTGCGTGTAGACCATAGTTTCTGAAATTCTTTCCAACTCTTTTACCAGCAGGGGATATGGGAAATATCTGTATTTTCTTCTGTTCAGAGATCAAAGTAAATAGACCATAAGGAAAAGGAAAAAATCATAGTAAAATAATCAGTGAGTAATGAAATGTGCATAAAAGCCTAATCAGTAAAGAAAGTTATCAAAATTTTAAACAGCTATAAATAGCTACAACAAAATTAGCAACCTTTCTAAAGGTTTCTATAATATGTCAGCTAGGAGGAAGTAATCTCCTCCTTTAAGGAGGAAGGATATTGTAAGTAATGAAGCAGCACGTTGCATTATAGACACGTATATGTATTTTCATCCCAGGGACCAGGTCAGTCAAAGTGCATGCATATATGTTGTGTATGAGAATCTAATCAGGATGGTGCATAGGTGTTTGTCTGTGTTTATATTTTTGGGTTTCCCTCATGTTGCATCTGTATGACTATGTATGCGTGCATTGGGAAAGGATGAGTGCGAATGCGCTGCTTGGGGCTATATGACCAGGAGGGAGGGGACATAGATTGGAGGAGGTGATAGCATTATCTTGCTGATTGACAAAGTCCCAGGTCCCTTTACATAATTTCCCACATTTCATTTTGTAGGAAAAAAAACTAGAAATGGCTAAAATCTGTCCAAGTTGTCCTATGAAACCTCATGAGGCTTCAGGTGTGCTGATCTGGTTTAATTTTAAAAATAATTGTAATTATTTAAGAATGTGCTCACATGTGAATATGTAGAGGTCATAACATTAAAGAAATCAAGTAATAATACTCCTTCCTGGAAAATCTTCCTGGTTTTCAGAATTTTATAAGATTATGTTCTCTCATTTAATCCTCTGTTTTCTCTTATGTTTTGGCATGGATATTTAAGTGGATATCTGATCATATACTTGTATCTCTGGCCAGTGGTGGATTCAAATATGTGAACAACCGGTTCTGTGTGGATGCCGCTTCCAAAAGTCCGTTCTGGGCCTGGGCAACAAAAAATTAACTACTAGTTCTACTGAACTGGTGCAAACCGGCTGAATCCCACCACTGTCTCTGGCACTTGTTTTTACCTAGCATATTCTCATCTATGAGATGAGAAAGGCAAAATATTCAATACAATACAAGAAGTGTTGTTGCTACTGAGGTGATATACAGCTAATGAGCCTGCTCAGAGAAGAGCTTCAACAGGTTCATCAATATTTTACATGTTCCTGCCACCTCATTAGTTTATGCAGTGAATGATGGCAACATCAGAATAACTAATTTTAGCATATACTATATAAACTTGTATGGAAAAAAAAGCTCAACTGCTGCTACTGGCAAAATCAGGAAAAGGGTTTTTCGAAATGAGACTAATAATAGAGTTTTGTTCTCTAGCTATTTGTTTGCTTCTGAACTGCTTATACATAAATTTGTTGAGAAAACAGCAGTGAAACTGAAAAATGCTCTAAACAGTGACATTTCTAATAGCTCTTTATAATCTGGATCTTGAGGCCCAGTCAGTAGAGCTGGTTTGCTTTGTTGAAGCTTGCAATGCAATTTCCATATTATAGCTCTCTGTGATTTAAGGTAACCTTGGAGCCTAGGGGCCAGAACTGAACTAGGAAGAAGAAATTATAAGCAAATAATTATCTTATGATATATAACAGTTGTGTTCTCAACTGTGTGGGGATAATTAATCTTTGTGAAAAAATGATCAGTGGTACTGAATACCTATAACTACCTATAGTCCATATTGGAATTATAATTCCCAGAAGCTATAGGCAGCATGTTGGTTGGCCATGTTGACTGACAATTATGGAAGTTGTAGTCTCAACATATCCAGATCCAGGTTTTAGAAAAAACTAATCTACTTATTTTGTGATAATGAGACCTTTGGCTTTCTTGCAATTTATCCCAATGCCACAGAGAGCAAGTCCCCTTTTAAAATTACTCCAGTTCTACCATATTGTCATGAAATCAAATTTTGGGGTATTTCATGCACAGCATGTTTGTTAAGAGTTTCTTGTTCAAATTACAACCAGCAGGATGCCTTGCACTTCTAGCTATTCCTTGATGAAATTTAATAAATATTCATTGGCAGAATGCAGAATGATTCAGTTACTTTCATTTTTATCAGCTCAGCGGGAAACCCCAGATTCTATAGAAAGCCTCCAAGAAATTCTAAAGGTTGACAATAAGAGGCTTTTGTGATTCACGTTGTGAAATGAGAAATAGCTGGCAGTACCTTATCAATGTCTAATTTGCCCTGTCAAAAATCAGAGTTTTTAAACAGCCTTGCATATTTGTGAAAATTTGGAACATGCAGCCTCAGGTAAAGTGCTAAGACATAAGACACAATATCTGCTCTGATAATGATCATTCAAAAGTTAGAGAAATTATTTGAATAAAAAATTGAAATATTGTTTACTTATAGTAGTTAAAGATATTAAGTGAAATTAAAAGTATATTATGGATATGGAAAGTATAAGCAGTTAAGCAGCATTATGGGATCATAATAGATCATAATAAATCAATGAAAACATCCCTGTGAGGGAAGTTAAGGGAATAGGAAAAACTGTAATGCTGTATCACTGCAACCCAATGGAAATGTAGAATATCCATAATTAATTTTGGCCAAAATGTGCTCTTATTTCTATAGGATTCAGCACTGTCATAAGGCCTTTTGATACTGCATAGTACATTACCAAACATCAAACTAATTCGTAGGGGAAATATTCAGCATATTCATTTGAACGCTTTTTCAAATGGGAGCCGTGGTGGCACAATGGTTAGAATGCAGTATTGTAGGCTAATTCTGCCGACTGCCAGCAGTTTGATTCTGACCAGCTCAAGGTTGACTCAGCCTTGCATCCTTCCGAGGTCAGTAAAATAAGGACCTAGATTGTTGGAGGCAATATGCTGACTCTGAAAACCTCTTAGAGAGGACTGTAAATCACTGTGAAGCGGTATATAAGTCTACTGTTGTTGCTGTTTTGTTCAAAATATGCTTGAATTGCCTCTATTGAAACCTGCGATGCAGGCCTACACAAGGGTAAAGAGCAAAAGATCCCATTGGTACATTCAAAATCACTGCAGGCCACAAAGGAATGCCTAGCAAATCAGTTAGCAGTTTGGAGGCTACAGGAGCAGCAGTACTCTGGAGCTGGTGGTAGCAGAAAGGCTTGGAACACTCACAGTGTTTGGAGATGGGGTGGTGATTTATTATTTTTTAAAAAATGCCAACGGGCTGCTTGGCAACTCCAGCCCATGAACTATATAATGCAGGCCTACTGCAATGCATCTATGGGTGGAATGGGACAGGCAAGGGAGAAGGAAATCCATCACCTCTATGGATATTGCCTCAGGTGTGCCATCCTATATAGTAAACAAACCTTCCCCTCCTAATTTGCTGGTTTTCTACTTACTGGAAGGCCAGTGAAGGTAACAGGGGGTGTCTGCCAAGAGATGCTAAAGCTTTTTCCATTGGGAGTGAACTTGGCTGACCCTGGAATGTTCACAGGAGCTGTGGCCTGTTTCAAAAAATAGGAAATCAGTTAAGAAGGAACATCTCCATGTTACCCAATTAAGTGTTCGATTATCTCCTATGAAAAATAATAAGTCGGTCGCATTTTGATTCTATTTTTCAGTTCTCTCAAGGACAATAGGGTGAATAATAAATGATACCATTGAAAGAAAGAAGTCTATAGCAGTCACTAAAACAAATTAAGAGACAAAGAATTCATAATATATGCAGATCTAATAAAATTATTTTAAAGTTTAAATCTGACAAAAGAAGCATTTTAGAGCAACTTGTCATTTCCCCAATGTGGCTTCTTTCAGATATTTTGAACTATAGCATCTTTTGTAACATTTCCAACTAGCAAAAGACTATTACTGGTAACAATGGACAGGTCACAAAGCAACTAATGTGGAATTTACTGACTGGAGAAGATAGTTGAGAGTTGAACTGTGGAATCCTTGGTGCTCTCTGAACTTGGTTGTTTGCTTGCAGACATTTCACTACCTGACTAGGTAACATAATCAGTGCCCATGGATGAGGTTATTAATGTAGTGATGATATTACCTTGTCAGGTCAATATCTTCAAAGAAACAACCAAGTTCAGACACCATCAAGGACTTCAAACTCTCTTATGTCTTTTCTACCTTAATATTATGGAAGTTTGCAGATTCCTTCTTGCAGACAGTTTTTTTTTCTTCCTTTATTTCTTGCTTATTTATGATTTTTCTTTTTTGTATTTGTACTTTTTGTGCTGTGTAAAAAATTCTATAATAATAATAAATTATTATTATTATTATTTGCAGAGAAATGTGGAGAAATTGTATTTGCTGCCATCAGTCTTTCCCTCTATGAGAGACTGCGTGAGAGTCATGCAGTTTGGACACATGCCTGTTTTGGTATCCTTACAAACTCAAAAAAGTTTGTAAAGACACTCAAAAGATACTGGATACTTCTAAAAACCCACTCCGAGTGGTGGCATGCCAAGTTTAAACCTTATTTATTTATTTATCAATATAATTTTAAATACTGGCCATCTTGTTCACAGAGTGATTCTTGGCAGTATACAGTTAAAAACATGAAAGCCTAAAACCAGATTAAAAACACTACATCAATAACAAGATAAAAACAAGATTAGAATAAATTAAAGGTTAAAAGGCAGCAGGAGGGCTATCAAGGCACCTGGGAGCCTTGTGTGAATTGGAAAAGCCAAATCTTCAACTTTCTTCGAAAGTCCAAGAGAGTGGGAGCCTGTCTTGGGGTATGGGGAAGAGGATAGGCCAGAGGGGAGGGGCAATGGCAGAGAAAGCCCTCTTCCTGGGACCACCAGTCAAAATTCATCAACTGGCATTATCAGCAATAGCTTTTGTTGTTTTATATTGACATATTCTGCTCCTTTTCTCTTTATATGTTTATGCTATTATAATTTCATATAGTGCATATACAGTGAATAGAGATTCAATTCACTTTTCCTACTCAGTAATCTCATTAACCATAGTGTAAAAATAGTTTAGCAATTTCATATACCTACTTTAAACGATTTCCCAAGAACTTTGCAGCAAGAAAGAGAAACAAGAGGGTGGGATGCAAAAAACAAAAAACCAAACCCTAAATATAACCACAAGTCAGTCACAGCTCAATTCCACTTCATTACTACTGAATCTAGCTACTGTAATTATGGGATAAAATAAAATAAAATAAATCAAGTGCAATAAAATAAAATATGTACCTGGTAAGCATGGTCAGAGTGAATGAGGTAGAGGTTGGTAGGAGCTGAACGGCTTAGAGGCGTCATCCCTTTAGCATCTGTTTTGGCACATGACAGTTCACTTCTGTTCACATCTTGGGATGGAAAAGAAGGAAGAAATGCTAGAGAGGGTGAAACTGGAGATAAACTATTTAATCCATCTGCTACTGAGTCAGTGTTGAGACGTATCTCTGTGTAGTAAAAATCTTCCTCTCCATCACTGTAGTCAGATTCTCCTACACGTCTAAAAAAATGATAGTCAGAAATCATTAATACTATATCAAAGTCAGTACAATAAGAAATTCCAATATATTAATATATGAGTATACACAAACAAATTGAATTGTTCAATATTTTTACAACTACAACCAATAATATATATTTTAATTAATATATTCATGTGCATATTGGGGAAGGAAAGAACAAAATAAAGAAATATTTGCATACAGAGACACGCACACAGTTACACAGAAAACACTTTATCTCTTCAGAAGAGATCCACTCATCAATTAACATACTTATTTTTCATATGCATAGAATATACCATCAAGAATGTTGAAATAAAAAAGACTTAACTTTATTTGTCACATTTTATAAATCAGACTGATGGAAACACAGTATATTTAAAGTAGACAAAGACTGTTTAATTCATTTATTCCTCATTTCTTTCAAAACCTTCAGCACATTTTCCTCTTTATTCTCACAACAATTTGGTGAGGCAAAAGAGAAAGTTTGGAAGAAAGAAAAAGTATATAATTGTACGTGGATTATGCAATAAATTCTCTTTCCCCACCCACTAACCATTTTATTAAAAAAAATTAAACGCAGGTTTGAATTAATGGGAAAAAGATATCATGAAAAATGACAGCACAGTTCAGTGAGTTTAATTTTTAATTATTTCTATTGTGACTCATAGGAGAGTTTTTAAATATTGAAAATCCTTTGGGTTCACATTAGTTCTTGCTCTTCTTTCTATTGATGTTGCTACAATGAGGAAAATGAAAGGTTTTGTTCTATTGTTTAAAAAACAATATTGTCCATTTTTCAGAATTATATCCAAAACATATATGCCACTGAAACAAATTGAATTCAACTCAAGGATTGAAATTGGATTAAGAAATTACAGTTAGGATTTACCACAATTGGTTGAGTCTAACTGAAACAAACTGCTGTGAATCTAAAACTGAAGCAAAATTATCTAAGTTTATCATGGCCATACAGAAGGAGGAGAAAGAAGGGAAACTCATTAACCAACTATCTGCAGTAACTTGTTGCAGTCATAAGTCATACTTCTCCAGATGTTATTTCCACAAATAACAGGAATCCTTTTTCAGAGAAACTATCTATCTCTTTTTACAAAAAGAATTCCCCAAATGTTTCTAAAACTTTTAATTTTATCGAATTTGTGGTATTGATTCACAATAGCTTCATTTATAATAATTACCAACTTATTAAATTAAGCTTAGTTCATTGGCACACACACAAAAATGAACCCAAAGTGGCTGGTTTGTATTTTTTAACCTTTCCCTCTTTGGAGTGGCCAAAAAGGAAAATAAATCAGCACTCTGTTTCATGTTAGGAAAAATATTGTTTTGATTCTTATGCATGCATTGGAAACAGTGGCTTAAAATAAATTCTACTTTCTTTAGCAAATCAAGAAAACAATGTAAGATTTGTCATTGCCTTGTATGTTATTCATTAATGGAAACAAATTTATAAATAATAAAAAGCTAGGATACTGCTTATATGAGACTGAATTCTGGCTGATTCATTCCCCTAGCTCAAAGCACTGATAAAACAGAGTTCAATGTTAGATGCAAACCCCCGTATAAATATTGAAAAAGAAATAAAGGAATCATCACCAGTAATAGCTCGATTATAAACATGCTCATTTGGTTATAAATCGTAGTGAACTCGCTTCAAAGTAATGCTAACATTGGGATAAAAGTTGTTTCACAAATAAAAAGAACGGTAGTCTTCTCACCCAAGATGAATAGTCCGGATGTGTTTCTGAATGCCAACAGCAGTGCTTAGTACCTTTCCACAGTTTTTCCAAAGGCATTTAAACATTACTTTCATGGAGTTCTGAGAAGTTAAACAGGGAGCACAATCTGTACACAGTACATTCATTTAACAAGCATGGATTTCAAATTATTCTATTTACATTGATACTAAAGTAAATTAAAACTAATGTTTCAAGGACACATATATTTAAGGAGATAGGCCTACTGAACTTGGAGGGATTTACTTTTAAATAACATGCACCTGAGTGTAATTTAAGTTCACCATTTATAAACCGAACTATACAGTATTGATCTTTTGGTCATTAATCTTGCAAAGCTAATTTGGAACACTGAAATGAGTTCACTCTGTTTTCAAATTAGAATGACAAGTAATAGCTGACTTTAGTACAATACAGTAATACACGTAGGAATTTCCTAGTATTTCATCTATTAGCAATTTATTTGTAACAACTCCAGGGCTTTTCAGACAAATATTTCTTTTAAGAGGACTAAAACAATTGGCATATATTTTTAAAAATGAAGAGTAAATAAAGGCAAAGTGAAACAAACAACATCTGGTTTTAGATAAAAATAATATATCATGGAGTCTTTCATAAATAAACACAGGTATTTGTTAATCAAGATTAATATAATATCACAATATACATGCTGGCTGGCTGGAATATTCTGGGAATTGAAGTCCACCTATCTTAAAGCTGCCAAAGATGAGAAACACAGGTATAACATTATAGGAGAATATTGACAAATTCAATATCAGACTCACCTTTCTTTTCCTAGGAATAGGTTCGTCAAAAAGAAGACTGCTAGTTTCAGCTTCGTCAATGCCATCGTCAGTTTGAGATGGCAATCGAAATGGTTTGAAGCTGTCAGCAGAAAGGGGAGGTGATGGAGTGGATGGGTTTGATTGGTCACTTGGAGCACTCCAGCTCCAATACCCACTGCTGCTGGTACTGGAAGGCACAAATCCTCCTTCTTTCCAGGATCCATTTAAGGATTCTACAAATTAACAACAGCATTAAAAAAATAACTACAATGTTGGATATTAATGCTTTTAATGCTGTAAGTCTCCCAGAGTCACTTTGAAACAGGATGGGAGGCAAATAAATTTAATAAATACTATAAATAAACTATTTTTAGTAGGGGGATTACTAAAACATGTATTATTAAAAACATGTATTTATGAAGAATGCTGGAACATCTAGATTACATGCAATTAACAGAAAATTATTGTCTACTAAGATATAAGAAGTACATATGCCACACTCGCACCCACAGACACACGCGGAAAGCACACAGATTTTCCAGGAATATATATGGTTCTATATCTACTGGGGTTTCCAAACTGCATAAATAAACTATACTTGATATAAACAAAGAAAGACTTATTCATATTTTTCTACCATGCCATGCCCAAAGAAGGCTACAGCCAGGTACCCAATGCTTTCTAGACAACCTATCTACTTGAGAAGCCACTAAGGTTGCAGCTGGACAGCTGACTAGGCCAAAGTTCTTCTTCCTCTTAATGGATGAACATGTCCAGAATTTTGGGAAAGTATCATGGGTTCCTCTGTAACATAACTGTTGTGGGAGGAAATGTTCATGCATAAAACTGCTGCTATTGTGGGTTTCTGAAATACAATTTCACAAAAAGCATCTGGCTGAAACTAACTGAAATCTTATCCCAAATGATGTATCTAGGGCAGCCCATTCAGGAATATCTCCTAAATTTTCTGCAATAAGACTAAAGGTTCGCTCATTCTAAACCTAAATTCTGTTCAGGCATCTATTTTTAAATGCTATGCTCCTCCCTCCGTCCCTCCTTTCCTCCTTCTTTCTCAGTTACTGGAGGCTGCCTTTCATAGCCCTTTTGGCTTTGGCTAAGAAAGATCAATGTACAACTCACATAGAAGTATCTGTTCATAAAATGCCTGATAATCTTTTCTAAAGCACTTCTTGGGTTTGTGCAGGCTGCTTAGCAAAGGGCAGGTCTTCTAACATGTCTTCCAAACATGGGTTTAGTGTTCTTTTGAAAGTAAGCACTAGTTCTAAATAGCACAAAAAGCCAATTCAAACCAGAAAACAACCAAGTTATATCACCTGTGTGTTGCTATGCATGTCTCTATTGATAGCATTACAGGTTCTCTACTGATTCTGCTTAACAAGGAGTTTCACATGGCTGTATCTTTTATACTCTTTATTATTTGGGGCGAGAAAAAAACACATCATTTTGCCTATTCAGTTGTAGCTTTGGCAACACTAGATGCTAAGTAGTGACTGCAGTTTTTATGTGTGGGTTAATGGTAGCCCCTCACTCCTCTTGGCCACTGGAGGTCAGAGCTAGATTTCTTAGTCACTCCTTACCAGCATTGTCACTGTCTTGCAGAAGCAATAAATGAGCATTTGTTATTGTTGTCTCCTATTCAATCAGTGCCTGCAATCTGTCAGCCAGTCTACATCTCAAAACATGTTCTATAGTAAGAAGTAAAATCCTAGACCTATGGTCAGAAATAACCTAATTGACAAGCAGGAAGAAGGGGTTGTGCTGAGTAGAAGAATTGCACAAGAAGGCATTGACTTCTGCTTCACACTATGAAACTCTTCACATTTCCATTGTTAGTTGGACAATTAAGCAAGTGGATACATCCTCTAGTGTAAACATCTGTTTATAATCACTAACTCCACTCCACCCCACATTAGAGAGAACGACTGGTTGCTGGTCTTCCTACCAGCAGGCAGAAGGGAAAATGAAGCTAGGTATATCTACCAATCTTTTCCCCAAACTTTTCTTTCACAATCTTTCCTGAAAACATGCTCACCATTAGGACGGATTGGGGGGCTGCGAACCAAAGGGCTGGTGGATAAAGTAGTTAGAACCATAGCTGCTGTGACTTTATCCATATCTACTTCTTCTGAAGATTTTCTGAAACAAAGTGATTAGAAATCAGGAACAAATGAAAAAAGGGTTAGGAACAATGCGCCATTAATATTCCAAATTCTAATCTATATATTACAGGTAGTCCTCAACTTATATCCACAACTGAGCCCAAACTTTCTGTTGCTAAGTTAAACATGTGTTAAATGAGTTTTGCCCCATTTTATGAATCTTTCATTTGTTAAGAGAATCACTGCAGTTGTTAAATTAGTAACACGGTTGTTAAGTGAATCTGGCTTCCCCATTGACTTTGCTTGTCAGAAGGTCCCAAAAGGTAGTAACATTACTCCAGGACAGGGGAATTGTCATAAATATGAATCAGTTGTCAAATGTCTGAATTTTGATCACGTGACCATGGGGATGTTGCAAAGGTCATAAGAGTGAAAAATGGTCATAAGTCATGTTTTTCAGTACCATTGTAACTTTGAATATTCCCTAAACAAACGGTTGTAAGTTGAGGAATGCCTATACTAAAATTCTCATTGTCATGACTTTTTAACTGGATGAAACAGTGCATCATGGGGCAACATTTTTGAATTAAGCTACCTCAAATGGACTAACTTACAGAATGTGTCCAAAATCTGGGACCACGACTCCCAAGGGAATGAAATTTGGGAAAGTTATGGTTGCTTCAGTATTACTGCCCGCTTCTATGCTGGCTGGGGAATTTTGGGAGTTGAAGTCCACACATCTTAAAATGGCCAAGGTTGAGAAACACTGAAGGGTTCTCAGTTTCCCAGCCAGTCTTGCAATCTCTCAGTCCTTCCCCTATTCAGCAACAGCCACTTACCTGCTTCCTGGGGAAGGGACGGGAAGGAAAGGGAAAGGAATTTCCAATGTTTCCTGCGACATTCCCACAAGGTAACTCAATGAAGAATTTAGCAGGAAGTCAAAGTCACTCCTGCTCCCACTATTTTTTGCCCATTATTGGTCATTCTATTTCTCTGTTTAGGTAAATAAATATCTCTGAAATGATGACCCAATGGGGCACAGGTTGTCTAGCTGCTCTTTAAAAGCTTCAAGCAACAGAACAAGTTGGACCAGTTTCTGTTCAATGGATAGTACTTGTTCACTGTACTGACTTTCAACATATGGCTCAAAACTGTCTAGTTAACATTAAGGCAGGTAAAGTCTACCAGGTAGTCATGCCAGAACATGGCAGTCCAAAAACGGCAGCTTAGCAATACCTCGAAAAGATTCTCTGTTTCAAACTGTGACATATATTTGGCAACAGTGTCTACCATTGTGGGCAGTAGAACTGTGGATTACATAGATTACGGTAGCTATATTTTATAGTTTATAGCCATACAGAGGAATAACCAGTTCCTGAAACTAAGCAGTGTACAGGAGAGGCAAAAGGCTATACGTGTTGTTGTATTTTCTTTTCTTTGCTAAAGCATTGCAACATGTCATAGATTTTTTTTTTTTTTTTTTTTTTACAAAAACCCATCTTATATGAATTGCTCATGAAATTAAATGAAGTATCCTCAAGGCAAAAACTTTGTCTCATTTAAAGTACACTATCTATGGTGCCACCTTTGTTTCTAGCACTGCTGTGCTGATATTAATCACATTAATGAATACAGTAAAATCTACTATGTTTATAATTCAACCACGTGGCATTGCAACATGGAAAAACAAGTAAGGAAAATAAGCCTCATCATTTCTCTTTGCACAAAGACCTCTCATCTCATGCATAGGGCTGCCTATTCCCACAGAATATAGGGATTCTGTGGGAACAGCCTAAGTAACATAGATATGCTAAAGTCCTTTAAAGAATTGTTAAATGGATGTGCAAATGCAGAGGTTTTGAAACAAAAATCCTGTATTTAATATTTAACTGTATAATTTAAATAAAAGGAACAAGTTAAAATTTCTTCCCCACAGGTGATAAGCTCAGGCAGAGGAGAAGGAGGAGGAGGAGGAGGAGGAGGAGGAGGAGAGCCTGGATTATTGGCTAGAAAAAGTTGGTTTGTCCCCGATTTATGATACGGATGACATATTTGATTGATTTGGGTTCTCATTCTCTATATAATAATAATAATAATAATAATAATAATAATAATAATAGTAGTAGTAGTAGTAGTAGTAAAGTTGGAAGGGATCTTGGAGGTCATCTAGTCCAACCCCCTGCTCAGGCAGGAAACCCTACACCATTTCAGACAAATGGCTGTCCAGTCTCTTCTTAAAAACTTCCAGTGTTGGAGCATTTACTGCTTCTGGAGGCAGGCTGTTCCACTGATTAATTGTTCTCACTGTCAGGAAGTTTCTCCTTAGTTCTAGGTTGCTTCTCTCCTTGATTAGTTTCCACCCGTTGCTTCTTGTCCTGCCTTCAGGTGCTTTGGAAAATAGCTTGATTCCCTCTTCTTTATGGCGGCCCCTGAGATATTGGAATACTGCTATCATGTCCCCCCTTGTCCTTCTCTTCGTTAAACTAGACATACCCAATTCTAGCAATCGTTCCTTATATGTTTTAGCCTCCAGTCCCCTAATCATCTTTGTTGCTCTTCTCTGTACTCTTTCTAGAGTCTCAACATCTTTTTTACATCGTGGTGACATAAAACTGGATGCAGTATTCCAAGTGTGGCCTTACCAAGGCATTGTAGAGTGGTATTAATACTTCACGTGATCTTGATTCTATCCCTCTGTTAATGCAGCCTAGCACTGTGTTGGCCTTTTTGGCAGCTGCAGCACACTGCTGGCTCATATTTAGGTGATTGTCTACTAGGACTCCAAGGTCCCTCTCACAGTTACTACTATTGAGCATGGTGCCACCCATGCTGTACTTGTGCATTTGGTTTTTCTTGTCTAAATGCTTTTTTTCACCATTGAATTTCATTTTGTTAGTTAGTGCCCAGTGTTCAAGTCTGTCCAGATCCTTCTGTATCTTAAGCCTGTCTTCTGGAGTGTTGGCTATTCCTGCCAGCTTGGTGTCATCTGCAAATTTGATGAGTTCCCCATCTATCCCTTCGTCCAAATCGTTGATGAAGATGTTGAAGAGCACTAGGCCCAGAACAGAGCCCTGGGGCACCCCACTACACACTTCCCTCCATATAGATGCAGTTCCATTGAGGACCACTCGCTGAGTACGGCCAGTTACGGATCCATCTAGTGGTGATTCTGTCTACCCCACATTTTTCTATCTTATCAAGTAGTAGGTTGTGATCTACTTTATCAAATGCCTTACTGGAGTCCAAGTAAATTATGTCCACAGCATTCGTCTGATCCACTAATTTTGTCACTTGGTCAAAGAATGCAATAAGATTTGTCTGGCATGATCTATTTTTGACAAACCCATGCTGGCTTTGTTTGCCTCTAGGTGTTCTTTGATTCGTTGTTTGATTATCTTTTCCAGGATCTTCCCAGGTACTGAAGTCAGACTGATAGGTCTGTAATTTCCTGGATCCATTTTTCCCCCTTTTTTGAGGATGGGAACTACATCAGCTCTTTTCCAGTCCTCTGGTAGTTCCCCTGTGTTCCAGGATCTTTGAAAAATATAGTTCAATGCTTCCGATATCACATCTGCCAGTTCCTTGAGAACCTTGGGGTGTAATCCATCTGGTCCTTGCTTAAAGATACAGGTTTGCCAATCTTTACTTCTAGTTCTCAGCAATCTTCATTTTTGTCTTCTGACTTCTGTTCCCACTTCCATTTTTCAATTCTTGTGGAATTTTTTTTAAGTACAAAGTTTTGTACCCTACAAAAGATCTTTTAGTAGTAAGCAATTTGGGAATTATCAACCACAACACACACTATGGCACAGGTGCACTGGTTAAATGACCACAGTTTTCCAGTTATACAATAGGCTAAATATATATGCTTTTCCTCTTAAAAAAAATTAAGAAGTCTTTAAATGGGGATCATAGAATGGTAGGGAGGGGTGGCAAGAGAAAAGTTGATAAGGACTGCAAAAAAAAATATCAACCTGAGTGTTCTGATTTCTTCTTCTCTGAGATAAAATCCCTCTGTCTGGAGGAACAGAAAAAGGAGCAAGTGAATCACATTCCTGTTATTGTCAATCCAGCATTCCAGCATTTGTTCTTTAAAAACTCTCGGGATTTTCAATAATTTACAATGCCATTTCTTCTTCTTTTCCCCGTTCATTCTGTTCTGCTGGCGAGCACAGTGAATGCTGATCATCACATGGGCTAAAATAGCAGAGCTGTAAATTGCAGCAACCCCTCCTTCATGAGATCATCCCATACTAGTGCAAATGAGAATGACATAATGCTTCTCTGAAGCCCAGCATGCGTAGAGCTCATTCTCCAGCCATAGCTACTTTTCATTTTCAAAACAGTTTTTTTTCCTTGTAAGATATTTCATTACACGCTGGGGGACTGAGGAAAGAGATTACATACAGAGATGCTGCAGCAGGAAATATATCAGTCTCCTATCTCTTCTATTCTCCTCTCCCCATCTTCCTTTTTTAGGTCAACATCAACAATAATGTATTTCTATATCTGAAGAACACTGAGATGACATAAGTCTTTGGATAGGGAAGGAGGGAAAAGGGAACCAAAGTACAAATATGGAGCTTTTGCACAACATGTACAAAGGAAGCCTGGAGGCTTCCTGACTTGTCCATGGAATTTTCTTGGCAACAATACAGTACAGAAACGATTCCTTCTTCTGGAGTGTATTTCAACTTCCCAGTTTAGTCCATAGTCCTGATATTCCCAGGTACTCTTTCATTCCAAAATTAACCAAACCCAACTTTTATTATCTTTCAAGCTTAATCCAGTTCAGTCCAGGCAGTGCTATCTCCCGTGTCTTGTAGAACATGTACTGTACAGTTCACTAGAGTCAAGTGCTTCTCAGTTAAGGATTTCAAACTTACACTGGTATAGGTATTCACAGCCGGTATCTGTTGGGCAATTTTGGGCTTCAAGATCACAGAGGCAACTGTGATGAGCAGGAACTGAATAAGTCCCTGCTCAGTTACTTGTGGCCAGCTGTGCAGACTATCTTGCTTCTGAAGAAGCCAAACA